TCACTAGGAAATGAGATCCGATGTCCAAAATTCCAAACTGTCCCTTTAATCTTATTTAAAGGAAGCAAATGCAGTTTTATTCTCTACACTGGTTTCGGTTGGTTGATTTATTGATCGGGTATTGGCAAATACTTAAAGCAATAGTGTCAAAATCTGAAAACTGTAAACTGAAAAATGTGGATTGGTGCATCCCTACTTATATTATCTCTGTGTATCTGAGACACAAACTGCACTCACAAGTAGGGATGGGCATGATCAGTCGACTAATCGGTAATTGATCATTTAAAATTTCATTGATTACTTTCATTTCTAATCGACAAACTGAATGTAGGTTTCTGGGCGTAGATATGAAGCTGAGTCTGACAGAGCAAACACTAGAGTTGCAGCCTCAGTCCCATGTTTGGGCTCTGGCACCTCCTTGGAGACACTGTACCACTCAGTGAGAGTGTTTACATGCACATCTGTATCCCGGTTTCATCATGGTGCATGTATACGCTGTATCTCGGTTACTGCAACATAAAGAGCTGTGATAAACCTGCACACGTACGATCTTTGAAAACATCGCGACACAAACACAGAACAGACTCACCATCAGCATCAACATCCCTCTGTCACAGAAAGAACACTCATATTCCACTGAGTCGTGTCCTTTAGTCTGACAAAAGCTGAACCGCATCAGCGCACAAGAGCGTTTTTTTTTTTTTCTTGGCTTAGTTTATGCAAATGAGCCATGTGGTTTTAAGTTCCATTTCTGTGAGATTTGTGCAAAGCTGCATTAAACACATGATAATGTCAAACGAGCTGATGTGGCTCTATGTGGTTATGGTTTATATGTCATAAAGTTGAGTTTATTTATTCAGATTAGTAACAGTAATAATAATGATGATACTTATTATATAAAAACGTTAATGATTAAACCAAAATTGATCGTTAATTCTCCCGACGATCGATTAATAAAATTTCATCAAATGCTCAGCCCCACTCACAAGACAAACCTGCAGGGGAGTTCATGCAAAAACTGCTATTTATGCAGAAATAAAGTACTAGGAAATAGTAGTATTTGTACTTACTCACATCTCTTTTCTGCTGTTGTCTCATAGAAATCCATATCATCTCAATTAAGTGATTAGACTTTGGTCGACAAAGACACATCGATCGATTAACTGACTTAACGACTAAAGGACAACAGCCCCTAATAATAAAACTGTCCAAATCAAAACTACAACCAAAAAAACTGTAACAAGGCTCAGCAAATTTAGGCATTAGTTTCAGCTTCATCTTAGATCAGTTATTTAATAAAGCTGTTTGTCATGTTTCATTTTCACTTCAGGACAATAACAATGAGTTAATCTCTGGGTTTACTTTCTTACATTAACCGCTGATATGATCGATGCCTGGAGTTCGCCGTCCTTCTGTACAGACGATTGTTTCGATAAGTAAAAACATAAAGATCTCTCCTAAAGCAGAATGAGAAATCGGAGCTGTCTTCTGCAGAACTCAAGTGGGACTCACAATATAGAGACTTTTCCACATTTGCCTGATAATCTTTCCACAGAACAATAATGTCCACTGATATCAATCTGAATATGGGTCAGGCCCCCAACATCTGAAGCCATTTACAGCCACCAGACACACACACACACACACACACACACACACAGTCACCAGACACACACACACACACACACACACACACACACCACCAGACACACACACACACACACAGTCACCAGACACACACACACACACACACACAGTCACCAGACACACACACACACACACACACAGCACACACAGACACCACACACACACACACACAGACACACACACCAGACACACAAGACAGTCACACACAGCAGACACAGTCACACACAGCAAACACACACAGCAGACACACACACACACATATACACCAGACACAGTCACACACACACACCAGTCACAGATACACACACATGCAGACACACACCAACACACACACACAACAGACACAGTCACACATGCAGACACAGACACACACACACACACCAGACAGAGACACACACATAGACACACGCAGACACACACACAGAAACCAGACACACACACAGACACCAGACACAGTCACACACACAAGACACAGTCACACACACAAGACACACACATCAGAGACACACATCAGACACAGTCACACATGCAGAGACACACACACACATCACAGACACACACATCAGAGACACACATCAGACACAGTCACACATGCAGAGACACACATCAGACACACACACACACTTAGACACATGCGCAGATACACACACAGACTGACACACTCGCAGACACACACACATATATACACGCAGACACAGACACAGACACAGACACAGTGCACACAGACACAGACAGAGGCATGGAGCTGTGTGTGAGTGCTGTGTGTAAGCGCTGTGTGTAAGTACTGTGTGTGAGCGCTGTGCAGGGCTGTGGGTTTCATTTACACACATTGGAAAGATAAATGTGAGGAGGCCGTGTGGAGCAGGTATGGAAAACATCAGATATGGAGCTCAGGAGAATCCAATGTGACGCTCAGTGGACCAGAGCTGACACAGAGCAGACGGAACATTCAGAGGAACACTAGAACTATACAGCTACACTATATACTTCATATACTTCTACTCACTCAGGTTCATTAGGCCCACACAGGACTGAGCCAGTGTCCGGACTGAGACCTTCTGACCTGTCACACACAAACGTTCTATTCTTGGCGAGAGTGAAGAAGACTCTGCTCAAAGGCTTTGCAAGTCTCGAGAATTCATTTAATATTCTAGTTAAACTATGAGATTTTAAAATTTCAATACACATTTTTTTTACTTAATTTGTGAGATTTTTATTACCCTGCAGTTTTGTACTTTGCATCGACAATGTGCACTTGGTGGGATGAAATAAAAGTCAACTTGCATGTTAGTGAGCCGAATACCGGCCACAAGGAAACCTGCTATCAATAAAGATACATCAAACAAACTCACCAATGCCAGCAGTGCAGTGGGTAAAATGAAAGACAAACAAAGACCAGGACATGACAACAGAAGAGCTGAAGGAGGAGGAGAGGTCCACCAGTGATGATAAAATCTTGTGTAAATGTGCTGACACCAGGAGCACAGAGCCCTCACCTCCAAATAAGCAAACAACTCAAGAAGCACAGGTCACAGAAGAGAAGAGCTGTACCAGAAGGTCTCCTCTTATTCATATTCATGTTCTGCCAATCATGGAGCTCAAAGGTCTGGAGCGTGCTCTGATCAACAGTGAAGAGCAGATGCACAGCTGGACACCAGGCTGAGCAGAGGAGCTCATGTGGAGGTGCAGAAGATTTCTGATTGTAGATATGAGACAGCAGAACGCCGAGAGCAGATTCAAATGGCGATAATTGGCTCTAAACTCAGGCTACTTGATGATAATATGTAGGTTAATACTTCTCACACATGAAACATGATTACAACAAAGCCCACAGTACTTTGAAAAGCCTGAATAATGCTTAAACTAACACAGGAGTGCCGAGGCTTAAATGATGTGAATGAGGCAGTGACTGGCCCTTCAACACAAAGTGCTCCATAAAAAGCTTCAGGAACAGGCCTCTGTGGCACCGGGAGTAGAGAGTAGTAGAGTCATTCCTTTCTTTAATCACAGCTCAGGTTTCATCTGATGTGGTGGACCTGACAGAACAAAGCCCATGTGAACCTGTTCTACTGTCCTACTGTCCTACTGTATCAGTCACACACCTCACTCATGTGGGAGAGGCCTGCACACAGACCAGTATCAAAGCCCGACTGTCTTTAATTAGATGTACTATTCTGTGTGCTTTTGTTTGCTTTGAATTTGTACGCTCATCAAAAAGGGTTTCAGGGGGAAAAGGAGAAAAAATATTATCAATCAAGTTTAACTATTCTAGTATAAATCAAACCATTGATACTTGAATAACAAATCTGATCACAAAAAAGAAAACCTAGAACGTGACAGCAGCAGAAATGGTCTGTCAGCCGGGCATGTCAAAATAACAAATGTTTAAATGTGATACAGTAAATATTAAGATTAGGGACTGTTTGATATAGACTTTTGAGCCAATATCGTTATTGTTGTGGTTAACTGATATTTGCCGATACCAATATTAAACTTTTAAAATCTATAATACAGACCAAACTGGATGTTAAGTACTGAAATAGTTTAAGTTTACAAATTACAAATTTACTATCTACTTTTATAAAAATAAAATGTATTGATCATGGATAAAAGATCATTTCTACTTTGCTCTAGAAGACAAATCAGATGCACTGAGGACAAACTGGGATTGAAACATGAGCACACAGAAACTGAAAAAATATACTGGTGCCAAATATCCACAAAATATTAAATACTGAACCTATACAGACTGATACACCATTGTTAATTACAAGAAACTACAATAATTACAAGAAACAGACATTTTAATCCTAAAGCACAGCAATCCCAGCAAACCATTTTCTAACTGAAGCAAATTGTAATATATGAGCTGCAAGAAATGTATTGCACAATGATGAAAACTCATCATTTCCTCCACAAACTCAAACTCTCCAGTCTTCTGCATGAAAACATATCACTGTGTACTTCAAATCTGTACAAACGTGTTCTTAAATGTGATTCTTGTATTAGTTTGTCAGTTCTGATTTCAGTTTTTGTTTATTCTCCTGGAAGCGCTGGAGAATAAACAAAATCACAAACCTAATCGCAAATATTCGTCAAAAAACTCGCAGTTATTGTTTCCCAAATCACTGAGCCCTTATACTTATAGCAGATATGAACAAAAACAACAAAGATTATACCGTGCCTTTAAGTAAACAACTAATACAGCACTCCCAGAAATGCAGTCCCTTTACTTTCACTTAAGACATCACAGTGCTCCTTGACTCTTGTTACCAACGCCGTTCTAAAGCCACATGCTGAAAACGATTTTAAACGCAGACAGTGAACATGACAGAGGAGCTGGCACATCTTACCTTAGTGTAAGTTTCACGTCGGGCACTCCCACTCGTATCTCTGGGTCTCCACTGCTCTCTGTGTATGTATGGCCCTGCGCGCTCTCACGGAAATCCTCCCAAACAGGAAGAGCCCCGCCCCCCTCAGCGCTCACCTGGACGGACCTGAAACGCAGGTCTGGCGGCGGCAACGTCCAAACACTTCGCTCTGCAATGAAAAGAGGAGAAAGACGAGCAGCTGTGAGGAGGAGGACTGGGGTTTGCAAGTCATGTTTTTCAATGTTTTTTGTTGTTAAAGTCAAATGTTGCATTGCTATGTGAAGCACTTTGGAAACTGTTTTGTTTGTAAAATGTGCTATACAAATAAAGTTGGATTGGATTGGAATATACAAGAGGTGGAGATTCAGACTTGGTATCACTTTATGAGTGTAAGCACAGTATTAAAATCATGTGAAGTGTACAGGGTGTCCCAACGCAACGCAACGCAAATATCTTGAAAACTATTAGGTCTAGCTCAATGAAACTGAACAGTTTAAGTGTTGAACATCATAAGTTTTTTGTGGGACTTTGTTTGCCAGTTGGTGAAGTTTTTTCCAAATGTTACATTGAAGCTGCACAGTCTTGGGTGAGTGTGTGAGCAGATTCCAGAACACAAATTGACTTCCCTTTGGGAGTGAATGGCTCAACTTGAAAACAAAACAAAAACAAAACATTAAATATTAAATCTTGATTTTTTTTTTCTATATGTTCTGTGAAAATTTTAGCTTATTTCAACAAGAATTGCCAAAATTATTGGCCTGCAAAATTATGTCAATTTTTTTGGGACCCTCTGTATTTATTAATATTGTGATAATAATATTAAGATAGTAAAACATATAATGATATCAAGACAAAAACATTTCAGCAAATAATTAACTATAATAATTAAAAAGGACCAACACAGTCTGTGCTTTAGCTGCTTTAGACAAGTTATTATCATCATCACTGGGGACACAACCTGTGTCCCCAGAGTCTTCACCTGCAGATAGAGACACATCCACGTTTGTCTCATTCTCAGTTTATGGACAGGCCTCATGTGAAGCTCTGAACCTCCAGAATTCTCTCCCTGAGCTGGAGAGGCTGCACTAGCACTGACTCATGACTGGTGCAGGTGCTGGGGTTTGGGTAGTGACCATTCAGATCAGAGAGAGACATTTTAAGTTTAAACCAACTGAATTTCAGCACTGAAACTGGCAACACAAATGAGAGACTCGTGTGAGGCTCATGAAGCTTTGTGATTGGAGAAATATATTTGGAACCAAAACAACAAGTAAATGTGATGCTGTGCACAATTTTTTTTTCTTTTCTTTTTTTATGTGATTTGATCAGGTCTACTTTATATCTTGGGGACACACATTTTCTTTTTCTTTTTTTTTTATTTATTTTTTGTGGTACTTTCTATTGTTCCTGTAGGGAAATTCTCCTCCGGATTTCACCCATCCTTTCAGGAGTAGTGGGCAGCACGCAGGGTGCTTGGCGACCTACCTCCATGATCTTGTTGCTAGGCCTGGTTAGGACCTCAGCTGGAGGGTTTTTATCTATGGTGCATGTTTGGGTTGATGGGGGAAACCGGAGGAAACTCACCCAGGCACTCGGAGAACATGCAAACCTTCTTGCTGTGAGGCGGCTATTGTGCTGCTAAACAGGACAAAATTCCCTCTTTATAAAATGTAAAATGATAATCTTAGATAGAGTCCCTTTAAATAAAAATAAATCTATCTGTATTTTAAAATAAAAACCTCTCATAAATGAATCGTTCATCAATGATTACTTTCAATAGTAATGAGGAAATATGAGCTGCATGAATGGTAATAATAATAATAATAATTTGTATATTTTAAACTTTAGTTGTAATAGCGCTGCCCGACCACTAGATAGAGCCATTGTAGTATTTTCACATGATGCCTGTCCCTGTAGGTGTCTGTGTAATGTGTGTGGTCAGTTCCCTCTCAGTGACCCTGGAGGACTGTGGGGAGCCTGGACAGAAGGTCCTGGACCCTCATCCCAGTGTCTGCAAAGGAAGGGAGTCATGTTTAAAGAGGAGATCAAACACCAAGTCCAGAAAAGATACAAGAAATGGACAACAGAGAGATTACACAGACTGTTATTCAAATTCAGATTTAAAAAGGCCGATATTCCACAATTTTCTGGTCTATGTTATAATGTTTCTTCATCGCAAACATATCTGGAGTTGCGTTCTGTGTTTATTCACACATTTAACACACAAATTTTGCAGATTTAGGCCGAGTTTTTACCTCAAAGAGAAAACACTGTGCTCCACTTTATGATTTTCATGTGGTAATACAGGAAGTGCTCCACTGTGTTTTTAAACTCCACACACCTTCACTAGATTCATTTGGATGATTTCAGGCCTGGAACTACCGATCTCTACTGAATTAAAAGGTAAAAATGTAGATGTTAACTTGAAAACGATCACTAAATTATGTCACAAGGTGGAACAGAGTATTTTGAGGTTTGGAGATGTAGACAGACTAATAATAAAGGGTTACTCAAAGATGTGTGATTGAATAATAGACTCAAAAGTTGTTTTAAAAAAAAAAAAAAGTCCTGGTTCAGTCTGTATGCAGCGCAAAAGTCTGGCAGTTTAAAGTCACGGAAACGGCAAACAACCGCGAATCCATTTTTGCCATTATTCATTTAAACACAAAATTGAAAAAACAAATTGTTATCCTTTTTTTTTTTTTCATTTTAGTTTGTAGACAAATAATGAAGAAAATAGTTGTTTTTTCATTTTCTTATTTTTGGTTGACACACAAATTGAGAGCTCCTCTCGCATGTGAAGTGGATCAGAGATGTTACGATGCATTTGGATTTAGAGAAAATTTGATACTCGTTTTGCAGGGTTGGGAAGATAAATTAAAACGATATGGTCACCTTTTGTTAGTTTATTTAAAGAAGTATTTAAAACTTCTATTTAAATGTGCATTACATGGTCTTTTCAACCTTTTCAACTTATACAGGCCTACTTCGTTTGTTTTTTTTTTTGTCTGTTGCTTTTTTTAAATTATTATTATTACTACTATCATTTAAATACATATTATAAATAATCTTATAATCTCATAGATAAGGGTCCTCTAAGACACTATATAGACAATTATAATGACATGTATGTGCTTGTGTTTCTTGCTTGAAATGCTGTTTAACCTGTTTGACATGTCTGATGTTTTATTTTGGGGGCTGTCACTGTGTATTAAGTGTCAAAAACACAATAAACAAAGTGTTAAAAAGATGTGTGAATGTAACAAAACACAACTCCAGGTCTAATTTGAGGAGATAATACAATTATAACATGACTTAAAGCTCACAGGAGTCAATTGTATGTAACATAAGACCGTGAAAGACTGCTCTTCCACTGAATCACACAAATGAGCATATTAGCGGAGCCTGGACACATCGATTTTATGGCAGATGCTCTTCCTGTTTCAATCAGCCTCAGACTGTGACAAGACAAGTTTCTAACAAACACAGTTTCGATCATACAGCAGAGCCTCAATACTCAATTTTGACTTCATCTAGTTTTTTCTCGTCAAAAAGTATTTAGTTTTAGTATCCAGTGTGTATCTGTGTGTTGACCGATGAAGTATCCGCTCAGGTGAAGTTCGATCTACTTTAAATGTTACAAACCACAGACCATAATGAAATGGCATAGCCTGGATCTGTGTGGGTGTGTTAATGAGAAGAAGAATGCTGCTGACTGTGATTGTGTGTTTCCCATGGACACAGGCTCTTTGTGTTTGACCCACAAACAGAGCAGCAGTGCACATCCTCACACACATTCCACTGCCCTGTCTCCAGATTCACACAGGACAGCAGAGGAGTCAGAGGAGAGAGTATGGGAGCCACCACACTCACACTTACAGGAGAGATGAAGGATAAGTTGAGTTTAAAAGTGAATGGATTTGCTCTGCAGGTTTATCTGAGCTGGAGCCTGTTGAGTGACGATGAGAACGAGGAACGGAGGAAAGTGGCATCTGCAATACAACCTGACACTGACACAAAGAGCTTGTACTTGACACAGCAGAGCTCACATTGGAGATACACTTGGATCACACACACACATGTCTAACACACACATGAGCTGAGCCTGGAGACCATGTGTGCAGAGTGGCTGTAGAGTCACCTCTGTACAAAACAATGACCATGTGGCAAACTCATGTGGGCTTCAAATGAGTGGACAGAGCAGATGAGAGAAAAAAAAAGCTGTTCAATCATTATGATAAATATAGCAAGATTTTTTTGTGACACTTTGTGTTCATTAACACTTTTAGTAATATGAGAGTTTAACCACCAGCCTACAGGTCAGTGGTTCAAACCCCACACTCTACTGACGACGCAGGCAAGACATGTCATCCACCTTTAGATGAGATAGATTGGTGGTGGTTAAAGAGACCAACAAGCAGCTCACTGGTCCAGAGCAGCTGTGGCTTAACAACACCACTGAGCGTTGAGTGAATGAATAATGAATAATGACCACTTTGAAAGGATTGTATCGGTCCAAATCTGGTAATTAGATTATTGGTTTATCAGCACAGTGGATGCTCGTGCAGCATGAGTGCAGAAATCACCGCTGTCTGTGCAGTTCACATGAAGTTGCAGCAGTAGTGATGTTGTCAGCACTAAAACAGTTTATTATGATACGATAAAATAAGTTCTGACGCTAAATGAACATTAGTGAGTGGGATATGTCTTAATAAGCCGTAGTAAATTAAATGCAGGTGAGTGTGTAAATGACAAGAAGAAACATCTCAAACTTTAGCAGCCAGACATCCACTCGTACCTGATCCATACACCTATCCCCGCCCCCGACAGAGTCTGAAATCTGCTGAAATCCTATAAGACAGTGAGTGCGTATACATGCACATCAATAACCCGGTTATGATCGGGTTTTTTGAGTATCCCGGTTTCTTCATGGTGCATGTATACGCAGTAACCCGGTTTCAGTAACCCGGTTATGGCAGTGTCCCGGTTATTAGAAACCGGGTTACTGTAGCTGGGTTATTCCGATAGTAACCGGGTTACTTGTGGCATGTATACGCAGTACCCCGGTTACTGCAACATAAAGTTGAATGCGCATGCGTCCAAAAGACACTTTCCAGCCTCTCAACACAACAGTAGTGACATAAATAAATTGACCAATATAAATAAAGT